GGGAAAAAAAAAATCCCTCTTTCCTACATACCTAACTTGGCCTCACTACCCTCGAAAAAAAATTTTCACTGCTTTCAGAAACCTACCTCCAACCCCAACATTTGCAACATCCCAAATTGCCCCCCCTATCCACCCGTCATACGCCTTTTCCAAACCCCATAAATCCCAAAAAAACCCTTTCTAGCCTTATCTAAATACTTTTCACTTATATTTTTCACTGTAACACCTGGTCCACACACCCCCTACCTTTCCTAAAGCCTCCTTGTTCATCCTGCTATCCTATTCCCGTCTTACTCTTAATTCTTTCAATTATAACTCTACCATACACTTTACCGGGTACACTCAACAGACTTATCCCCTATAATTTTTGCACTCTTTTTACCCCCTTTCCCTTTATACAAAGGAACTATGCATGCCCCTCTGCCAATCCTAGGTACCTTACCCTCTTCCATACATTTATTAAATAATTGCACCAACCACTCCAAACTATATCCCCACCTGCTTTTAACATTTCTATCTTTATCCCACAATCCCGGCTGCCTTACCCCCTTTCATTTTACCTACTGCCTCACAACTTCCCCCACACTCACAACTGGCTCTTCCTCACTCCTACAAGATGTTATTCCTCCTTGTCCTATACACGAAATCACAGCTTCCCAAATCTTAAACAACATTTAACAATTCCTCAAAATATTCCCTCCATCTCCAATCCCTCTAACTCTCCATTTAAAAACTCTCCTCTCCTTTTTTTTAACTAACAAATCCATTTGTTCTCTAGGCTTTCTTAACTTGTTAATCTCACTCCAAAACTTTTTCTTATTTTCCAACAAAATTTGTTGATAACTCTCACCCACTCTCTCATTTGCTCTCTTTTTACATTGTTTTCCCCCACTCTCTTAACCTCTCTCTTTTTCTCCATATACCTTCCCTCCTTGCATACTTCTACTTTGTAAAAACTTCTCATATGCTAATTCTTCTCCCTTACACTCTCTTTACATCATCATTCCACCAATCACCCCTTTTCCCCTCCTGCACCCACTTTCCTGTAACCACAAACTTCTGCTGAACACTCTAACACTACATTTTTAAACCTACCCCATACCTCTTCGACCCCCATTGCCTGTGCCTCTTTAAAGCCCATCTACCCTTTCCAATAGCTGTTTATATTTTACCCTAACTGCCTCCTCTTTTAGTTTATAAACCTTCACCTCTCTCTTCCCTGATGCTTCTATTCTCCTTGTATCCCATCTACCTTTTACTCTCAGTGGGAGCTACAACTAGAAAGTGATCTGATAATACTGTGGCCCCTCTATAAACATGTACATCCTGAAGTCTACTCAACATCTTTTATCTACCAATACATAATCCAACAACTACTGTCATTTCGCCCTACATCATAACGTGTATACTTATTTATCCTCTTTTTCTTAAAATATGTATTACCTATAACTAAACCCCTTTCTATACAAAAATTCAATCAAAGGGGTCCCATTATCATTTACACCCTGCACCCCAAACTTACCTTTCCACACCCCCTCAAAATTTTTCTCCTCTTTCATTCGGGGTCCCCACCACAATTACTCCTCACTTGGTTAAAAGGGGCCCTATACATTCACTTAACATCTCCCAAAATTCTCTCTCTCCTCTGCTTCCTCTCTTTCCGGTGCATCCCCTTTTATTATGCCCCCCATTCTGCATCCAACCTTTACTTTAATCCACATAATTCTTGAATTACACATTCATATTCTCTTTTTTTCCTTCCAAAAACTGATCATTTAACATTACTGTACCCCCTTCCTTTGCTCTAACCTCTAATCCCCCAATTTAAAACCCCATTTATTTCCCCCCACTGAAACCTCCACCCCCTTCACTTTTTTTCGCTAAGCCAGGCACCAACTTTTTTTCTTTCAAAACATCACAATCATCTGTTTCTTGTCCCGCACTACATCCAGCACATTTAACACCCAGTTTTATAAAATTTTTTCTTCCTTTTTTAGAAATTATACAGGAAAAGGGGGTTACTACCCCTTTGCCCCCGGCATTTTAGTCGCCTCATCGAACCAGGCTTAGGGAGGAAAGATTCTTTTTCCCTTCCCCATGGCAATAGAAAAATAAAAAGAACAAGAACTATTTAAAAAGGAAAAAACCTAGATGTAGTGCGGTCTTAATTAAACCAAATTAATAAAAACAAAATCCCTTTATTAGGTTTTTATGAAAAAAAAAAGAAACCGAACCTACCCTCACAAAACATTACATTTTTTTCACTCATCCAACGTTAGTATTTTCCCTGGGGGGTTCTGTTACCAAACCCAATATAAAAAAATAAAATATATATATAAAAAATATAATTATATATTATAATATATATATTATTTATAATATATTAAATATATATATTAAAATATATATAAAAATATATTATATAATATAATGTCGAATAGGCTAAATTGCGATCTTGGCTTTAAATAGCAAAGCCACTTCAATAGGACAAGTGAAAAATTTTTGTATGCAAAAATTTCTCCATAACATTTTGAAACCCAACAAAAAATATATTTCACTGTTTGTTTAGTATTAAATTATTTTAAAAAAAAAACAAAAATTATTTAGTTAGGATAAAATAAATTGAGCTTATTTTGAAAAGGGTTTGGTAATTTTCTAAGTTCCTTTTGGGCAAAATTATAAATTTTTTTGATCAACATTAATGAAAAAAATATATCTTTAAACGTATAAGAGAAAATTTTAGAAAGGACTTAATTTTAAATGAGTTCTTGCTAATTGACCAGTTTTACATATTCGGCACGACATTATATATATATATATATATATATATATATATATATATATTTATATATATATATATATATATA